ATTTGGTCCCGAAATATATCTCGTACTTTGGACGATCATTTGTGGCGTTTTGCTTTGTCTTTAGTATACGACAAACGAGTACTATAGAAGTTGTTGGTATAAGATCTTGCGTAAGTCTACTCCGTACAATTTGTGAACATCGATACCGTCAGCCTCTAAAAGGTGGTGAAAGTTCAAGAAAGCACTATCCGAGTGAGGAAAACAGCTTGAAATCACAGAAAACTCCCTGATTGTTTATTCTCGGGAAACTGCCACAAGACGAAATTCATCGTTTTCATGAAATATAGTGTATCATCATAATATTATCACCGGGACTTACTTTCTAATCACGCTACTTCGTTTCTTGTGAGGCATACAGCCTCAAGTTTGAGGATAGAACCTTCAGCCGCAATGATACTGTTTTTACGGAATCAGGTCGCTGGCCTTACGCACAGCCTTCTTTCTTCATCAGACTTACTGACAAGTAGGTGTGGCCTGGGACTGCATCTGCCGGGAGTCCAGCCCCATGCAGGTGTATGGTTATGGGTCACCAGCGCACGATCACAGGGAATAATGACAGCACCTAGTATTTTATTTCCAAAAACTAAGACTGAACTTTATACACTAATTTCTAGTTTGGCCCTCCCGGTTGTCGAAACTATCTTCAAGACAGCTGAATTGGTTGTTTGGTTGTTCTGCTAGACCAAGAGCTCGGCTTCATGTTAATATCACAATACCTTTGACAAAGATGCAAAATTCTGTTAGAAATCTTGCAGTTTTGGAAAAGACACCAAGACCACAGGAAACTATCTCTTCGGAACGCATAGAGAGAAGAAGCAGTTTACGGTGGTCACCACTTACATATACATCTGGCTGAAACTGGCTGAGATGATGTTATTCATATTAAGGATAAATTTCGATGGAAACAGTCTACCTTTAACTTATAGGCTTAAAACAGAGAAACTATCACAGCTGCTGTGAGAGTGTGTACTTTTCTGAAAGCAAGTCTACACGAACGCATTCAATGGATTTTTCTTTTCATGGACGTCATAAGGTCAATAATACTGATGCACGGACCTACTTAGTCCACAGATGCACGGCAATGACTGCTAGACGATATAGCCAAACTTTACATCGAGGGCATGGGGGATAAATAATTTCGCCAATTCAATTGAACCTCTGTCATATCACTTTCAGCGATCAATTCGTTTGTCCATACTGATCGAGTTTCACTGATGACGATTCGATTTTTAAGAACAAGAGGCGATTGCTGAGATGTGTTAGGATTGTGTATCTCCACATTCTCTTCGTGTTATCACTGATAAATGCGTTCCTGAACAGCTGCAAGAGAGACAACAGGTAATGTAGATGGACACGCAACAATCATGGGAGCTATTTCTAGTCAAAGCCAACCTGAAAATGAACTTTAGGTCGTGAAAACAGAGTCAGTTCATGGAAGACAACCGCCAACGCAGATTAAGCCATTTGTCGGTTAAGAAAGGCCACAGTGTAGCCAAACCTTCAGCCAGTCACGAAGGAGTAATAAGAATTTAAATATTTAACAAACGATTTACCCTCTACGTCGAGTGACGTCTGGTATCACATTTCAATAACAGAATAACCTGTGGCAACAGAATTCCAGCTCTAATTCCACGTAACCTTAGACCTGCCAGGAGCTATACATTACCATATATGAAATATTGGTATTACCAGGCGATGAAATAGCCCATGGGTGTTTCACGTGATACCTGGGGAGGGCAATGATAAGTGGCAACCCGGTGGTGAATACCAGTGGTTGAAGGCCAGAACTGTCCTATATCGCCACTCACTGTTGCATATTCAAGACTTAACAGAAAATTTTTTATATGCGAATGCCTTTTCAAAAGTCAACCTGGTCAAAGAGCACGATCAAATGTTGATGTCATCCAAAGGTATTTGTTAATGATTACTGATATTGGGAAAACATTCAATGAACTTGTTTATTCGAACTAGTTTCATGTTGGCTGAAGGCAATAATTCCTACCATAGCTAAAACGTCTGCTCGTCGGCAGAAAACCGGACCAGTACTATCAGAAGTACTGATATATATTACACTGACATTATTTATAGACTTTTTCAGTGTGCCAATAGTAACCAAGCGTGAATCACATGGGCAAGCTACTGTTTAATCAACCTACTATATTGGCTTTTACTTGGTTGATCAATAAATCTTCGACTTACCTTCCATCTTTCAGTACCGCTTGCGTTGAAATCGAGTTAGTCATTAAATGCGTAAAATCGCATGCTGAGTCCCAGAGAGTTATCTTCTCACAGCGGAGAATTTTCGTCGATAGCATTCTGAAAACAACCATCACTGCACTTATCTCGCCATCTGAACTACAACATGCGGTGCAGTCATTTAAATGCTTTACTGAGGAAGTACTTTAAGGTTCGATTCCTGTAAATGCGTGCCTGAATAACTGCTCCACCACAAGTTAAGTCAGAATAGCCCATATCTAATATACGAACTTGGCCTACAACTTATAGTGTAAATACGGTACGAAAAACGTTCTAAAATTTCAAACAGGAGCAGAATCAGTCGACTTCCTCGAGCACAACATAGCCCAAGGTTAGAAGCAAACTGAACTTTTCAGATCCGAAAACTAGGAAACCTCTGCAAACTTTAATGGCGTAGTAATTCCTGACTGACTGTTCACTCTCAGTTGCTGCGTTTTAACACGATGTCTGGCAAGCCTCCCTCTTTGGGATCCAGCAGCACCTATAAGAGTCTCAGTTGTCACATCCACTGGTTCAACCTGTGTAGTCTTATAACAGGTGGCCAGTAATCAATTCCAGCCACTTTCCTTCATCTTGACATGGCTACAGATCGTGAACACGGAGAGGAATATTTCCGTCAGGTAGCTCCCTGCTGTATGCTATCTATTAGGTCATTTTCGACAGTCTATGGGGGGTTAAGGAATCGCCATTTTCACAGGCTACAAACCCCTGACATATTCTCCTAATTTAATCTCCAAGACGCTTTTTCAAGAGAGCTACGCTAGCGAGACTACATTTCTCATTTTATCTAAGACATGCACCAAGTAGCTTCGGCTAATAATACTATCTCAGGTACCTTAGCATGTATCTCCTCTTTACTCAAATGACTGATGCCGACATTGTGAAATTGGCTTACCTTCTAATAGAAGGTGGTGTTTTCATAAAGAGATAATTTTTGCGGAATTTTTCAGGGATATCCCTTGTCCAGTTACGCCTAGAAGTTTTAGACAACATTTTCAGTACATTAAACGATACATCTCGCCCGGGTGTCCGATTTACGTCCAGGCTAATCACGCCTAGCTATTGCAGACCAAGCATGAATAGAGAAATAAAGTATTTGGCTCCTAATTGCATAGCTTACTGAAACTGCAATGTAGTGCAGCACATGAAAAATTGGAAGTGGTTGAGGGAAGAATCGACATCTCAAGCCATTGACTGAGAAGGTAGATTTTGTGGATCATATTTAGACGTATGTTGTTGGGCAGACATGATGGTTTAATTAGACAAACTCTGACCTAATACCGAATACTAGACCTAAAATGATAGAGGAAATTTGTTTACTTAACCTCTGATCTAGCTTTAATTTGTGTCGGAAGTGTATATGTATATCTGACGTATTATAGTCTTATAAAATTTTCCTCGCGGTCCCATTCCAGTGTTTGTATCGCAATATTTCTTATTCTCGATGATGTAGAATCTATCTGAGGAAGAATAGTCATACTTCGCGATCAGTTGAGCTAACTGTTTTACTTCAGTATCATCCCACCTATTTATTTGTCCATTCATCAAATACAACACCTTCCTCAATACAATGTTCTTGCACATGTCTTGACATGCTTTGGTCGTCTTATCCGATTGCCGAAATCAGTTCTCCCAAGGATCTATCTGTTAAAGCAGACACATGCTGTTTCTTGGAAATACAGACTGATTATCTTGTGAAAAAACTGACAACCAGTGTCGATTCTGAAGTGACTAGTTTTTTCTAAGCCACACACACTTCAGAACAGCAGTCTATCATTCTCAGGCAAATAGTATGTCATAATAATAATAGTCAGCATTGGACTAAGTTACTCCGAGTAACATATCCATTGTCTGTCTTTCCTTCCCTTTTCTCTTGCTGCGCTTTATGTATGTCCAAACAAATCCAGCTCACTTTGGCCATTCATCCTCCTCAGAGATCTCAGATCCCCGTTTTTTCTCCTCCAGGCGTCGTGGTTACTGGAGAAGAAGCAAAAGTAGCAGAAAAATGTTAAGATAGACACCTGTCGAACTCCTCTGCATGGACCCTGATAGCACAGACAGACGAGCAGAGAGGCACTGATTGCCATCACACCTCTCAGAAGGGTTTGTTAATGGTAAAACCATTCGTTTTTGATATCCAGCTGTATCGTCGTGGAATCTTGAAGATCTAAGTAAGGGAGTGAAGAAGGTAAATAATTTTCTTAAACGATCAGCCTACCACCTTCATCACCATTCAGTATCCAGTTTTGGGTTTCACTGTTTAAGTATCAGACCTTCCTTGCTAGAAGAGGATGGAGCATTTAAATCTCTTCCAATTATAATACCAGAGGAGAGGCGACTTAAATTTGGCATGCCGTATATTAAAGAGTGATTTAGGGATTGACCTTTCAAATCTTTTCTCTCCTTCTAAGATAATCTACGAGGTCACCACAAGAAGGTACTCAAACTGAGGTGGAATAAAATGGGTGTGCAATTTAGTTTCCGTCAGGGAGTGTTCAACGACTGGAAGTCCTTACCTGATTCAATAGTAACAGTTCGATCGGTGAACGCTTTCAAAGACAAACTAGATCTCTGCAGAGATAAATATCTCAAGGATTAGCAAAGGCAACAATAGCCTTCTATCCTTTTAATTTGAATCTGAAATCGACTCTTTAGGCTAAAGTTGGGAGGTCAAGCATCCACTGTGTATCATATATCATTACATATCGAAACGTTTCGAATTCTACTGTTCAAGAAAATTTCTGAAAGCATAATTTAAAAGTGGGTGGCATGGACATATAGTTCATAAATGAAAAGACACGTCATTGGCATTGAACAAAACTGTTTGAATTAGTGATTTTAGTTGGCCTTTCAGAAGTGCAAAATTTAAGCTAAACGCTATATCGTCTCTTTGGTAACGGTGAGTGGCTATTTTGTCACATGCAGTAGTTTGCTAGTCCCTCTATCCCTGTGTGATATTCATTATTATTTATTAGTAAAATTGGATTGATTTTACTCGAAATGTGAATGAAATGAATACCGTAGTTTCAAACCGTGGTTCAGAAAAAAATTTTTTCTGAGTTTCATAGAAGTTTATCGGTTACACATACTATTAGTCTGTCGGAAAAAAATTGTCATGATTGAAATATATTAAAATCACTAAAATGGGGTTCTTCGGAAGCGGAAATTTTATTATTAGTATTATTATTACTATTGTTCGTCTAGCTTCCACTACTCTCAAGTCTGTGTGGAGGTCAACAGCACTCAGCATCAAAAATAACATCCGGATTTTCAACTCTAATGTGAAGTCAATGCCACTTACTATACGAATCAGGGAATTGCACTGCGCGTCATAAAGAGCATCTCAAACAAACTACAAACATTCATTAACAGTTGTCTTTGCTCAATACTCAAGATCAGATGGCCAGAAAAGATCAGCAACAGAGATCCCTGGGAGCGAACCAACACAACAGGAACCGATTGTGAAACAAATAGGCAGGAAGAAATGGAGGTAGATGGATTGGCTGGCCATACTCTGAGGAAACCATCAAGTGACATCACTAGATTAACCCTCGAGTGGAACCCGAAAGGGAAGTGGCGGCGAGTTGGTCGTCAGTGCAAGGGTGACTTGGAGGAGATCATGTGAAGAGGAGATGAAGGCGTGTGGGCAGACTTGGAGCCAGGTGAAGACTGTAGCAGAGAACCGAACGCAATGGAGACGCACGGCTGAAGCTCTATGTTCCTCTAGGAACTAAAGGAAACAATAATAATAATTGTTCGTCTGGGTTTCGAACTGAGCATAGGGCTTCAACAGCATATCCCCACTTTGTCCTTTTCTCTGTAACCATCTTAAGTTGACTCTGCTACTGCCAATACTCTCTCATCTCTTGGAACGATCTCCTCCATGTTAATCTTGGACTACCCACTCGTCGTTTCCCTTTCGGGTTCCACTTGAGTGCCTGGCATGGCTCGCAATGTCACTTGACAGTCTATTTGGCATGTGTCAGATCCGTTTTTACTTTTTACTTCGGAATATTTTTAGAGCAGTAGGTCGTTGGTTGGTTTATTCCAATAGTTTTTTGTTGCTAATTCTTTTTTGCCATTTGATCTTCAATATCGAGCCAGCGAAGTTGGCAGCTGTTGATAAAATTCCGCAGTAGCCTTTTGGAAGTACTTTTCGTGACTCGTGTAGTTCCTGACCCATATAGAAAAAATGACTTAACATTTATTTTGGAAATCCGAATCTTGTTCTTCATGCTGCTTGAGCGCAGTAGATTTCAAGAGGTGATTTCAGAGAGGTGAATGTCTGTCCTGACTTTCCGATTCTGGTTGGTTTTTACATCTTCATTCGTTCCGTCGGCTTGTAGCTGAAAAAGTGCTGGCTAGATAAGTGAAAGTTACCTGATTTAAATTTTCTCCTTTGTTGGTGATTGATGCTTGTTGTTGGTTGGTTGGTTATTTTCATCACCTCCGTTTTCTCTATGTTTACTTGAAGTCCTATCTTTGCTACTTCTTCTGCCAGTTTGTTGGATTAAATCCACTTCAATGTACTTCAAATTCAAAAGTACACTTAAATGTACTTTTGGATTTCGCAGGCATTATAAAATAATTGAGATGGCAGATTGCTAATGATAAATCCTTATTAGCTTGGTTTGTCACGTTTGCCAAGTTTACATGAAAAGTTGGTGAATGGTAACCTGGTGTCATCAAATTTAATATTTATTTAAACAAACGGAGATGGGGCGTAAAAATAGCTATAAGGAGGTTTATAAATTTATTTCATTTTCTGAGTTCACCATATGACTTCTCTTGATTCCAAAAAGGTTCTAGCTTTGTGAGCAACCTAGTATGAATCACTTTGTTAACTGTGTTACTGAGACATGTAGGGATTGTCTTGGTGAATTTCTTGTTATCTTTCCTCATCATTAGGCTTGCTGGGTCGGAGAAATTCGTGCACAAACCATGCTTTGTGGTGGACTTCATAAGTTGAGGATTTTGACAATCTAGACTGTTATTTAGGTTAAACATTAGCACTTCGTGAAACGTTTGCAAAGATCTCAAGTTAAATAAGCCGTTGAGTTGAGAGAAGACGCAACTACTTTTTTGACCATTAAATGTATCCAAATTCACATAACTTGTCTACAATATATGTAATGTGCACAACACGAGTAGGACTTATTTGTGCAATGAATCTAGAATTCAATTCTAAGTCCAGCTGCCTCATTCTAATCTTCAGTTTTCATGTGAATACAGTTACTAACCAGTTAGTTGCATGCTGCTTTTTTGTATAATATAATTATTGTCTTTATATTTAATTATTAATTGGTCTTTTATTTAGGTATTCCGTTCCCCAATATTTACAAAACTTTGCTTTATATTTATATGAGATAATGGTGGATTGTTTATCTCCTATGAAAAAACAATATGCTGACTAATGTTGTAGAATTATCACCACAAACATTGGAAAAAGCTTATGCAGAATTGAATGAGCATCCACAATCACGTGATAACGCCATTGAAGAGTTAAGACGTCGAATCCGACTACAAAGTAAGTCAATAATTCTCATCTCTTTTTTTTAAATTTTAACTTTGATTAATAAAATATGATGATAAAATAGTTATATATTTCTAAACCAAGTTCACTTTTAGCAGTTTGAAAAAATTTGGACATTGGACATATGTGATATTATTATTATTATTGTTATAAAAGGTTTTGTATTTCCCAATGAATGAGTGAAAAACAAAACGATATTGTTGGATTTGACTGACTGACTAGTTTCAACATAGAACTTTGCACCGATGTGCAACAGTTCGAGTCACCGCATTTCACTCAGCACACAAAGCTAGAGAAGAGAGTAAAAAGAGATTCAAAATAGAGATAATAAACAGAAATATGAGACAAAAAGAATAGTTATAGGGAAGAGCAATATAGTTTTATTGGGTAGTAAAAGTCACAAGGAGTGGATGCATTTGCGCCAGCCATTGAGACTGACGATTTCGAGCCATATCAACTATTTTCTCCAGCCTTCATTGGTTTCTACCGTCCTGGGAACCCCAACAAGTCAGGTTGTCTACACATTTCTACATGGCAGTCTTAAACTAACTGTTGTGGATTTCATTGACTGATGAAGCCATGTTTCGGTTTGACCACCGATGGTTCTTTTACGACCTCACCAATCCTGTGTCGGCTAACATTTCCCGTCGAGGTAGGCGATGGCTAGGCAGGCATACGTAACACATGTCCTAAACATATCAATTGAAGTAATTTCACAGCCTCGTCGATTGGTTCCCCCTCCTTACCAACTAGCACTCGACCGATGGCCTAACCTCAATATTGCTCACCCTATTATACCGTTTCACATGGGAGATAGAACACAGGAACCTTTGATGTAAGACAGCTATCCAGGCTTTTCACGTCTTCCACTCTCATTGGCCATGTCTCACAGCCATAAAGCGTGTTACTGAGTTGTGGGTCCGCATGACGTAACTAGAATGTACCTGAAAAAACACGACAATATGACCAATTGGTCAGTTGAAGCCACCTGTCACACTGAGACAAAAATAAAAGTCAGACTGGTAAAAGCAAAGATGACTGGCAACAATAACAACCGCAACAAACTTTTTATTAGACTCAATACGTGGTGCACTATACACTTATAAAACTTCAGAAATTTAAGTCATAAATAAATGTATCAAAATTGTCCAGTCAGGTTATCTATCCCATCAATACATGGATAAATCATGACTTTACGGCTAACAAAGATGCTTGTCTGTCCTAACAATTTTGTGGTTGAATTTAAAACATCTAGGTATTGATCGTTTGAACGCAGGTACGTGGAACAAGTCTTTCATATGCCAGACTATACATTGTACAAGTGTTGTGTGATAGCTGATGACACTACACAGTAGTTGCAATGGGGTCATCAAGGTAGGAGACTTACATTTTCAATGCTCATTGACGACGAGTCAACGTAAAAAGTTTACACACACACACACACGTACACCACTCGATGTTACCAAGCTTAACAAAAGGAAGGGAACATTCATACACCTGGTGGTGGTGGTGCGCAAGGGAGGATCATACTTTATTGAAGTGTAGGTAAAATTTAGATGATAGAAAATAATTGCATCCGTGCCATTTTCAACGGTGTTTTAAACACTGCACAAATAGGTCTACAGTCACTGATTCTTAGAACTCTGAGGTTTGCGAAATAAACCTCAGGAATATCAGGAGTGTGCGTTGGTGGCACAGTAGTTAGGATTCTCGTCGACCATGGACATGGTCCGGGGTTCGATCCCCTGCCGACGCACACCCGATATCTATGGCCAGCCTGCAAAATTTGGGCTACCGATATCCATGCTGAAAATTCCATACTTGTACTGATAATACGGTGTGGCATCAAGCTGTAACCAAAAATAAAAAAAATAAGTAATAAAATAACTTCAAGTAATTTAAGATCAGTGTCTGCAATTTTGAAATGCAGTTGCTTTCATAGATATACGAGTGATATCCTGTAGGATGGAGTTTGACATATGAATTAGATGTATACGAGGGTAACTAGTCTTGTTACTTTGTGGGACCTATCAAATTGCTTCAAATAAGTTAGAAGACCACTTAATTGATGTGAAACAGAAAGAGATTTAATACTGTGTGACAGTAGAGCTTAAGGGGACAACCGTTTGAGACGGATAACACACGATCTATTTAATAAAGTAGTTTTTGGAGTTGTATCCGCATGAAGACCTTATTGTCGACTAAGAACAACCGCAGAGTAAATCAGGGTGTTGGTTTAGCATTGTTAGAGGAATCAGTAGCTTTCAAAAAGTCAAAGAATACTCAAATCAAAAAGCTTCATCTCAGAATGATAAAATCAGCAATCTAAAGTCAACGTTGATCGATAAAACAAAGTGGGTTATCAATCTCTCAACACGTTTATTAAGTCCTACAGAAATAATTGTCTTAGAAAAGGGACTAAATTTCAATGTAGCAGAAGACAACCTGAAACCTGAGGATGTCATTCCTGAAACAGAAATAGCACTAAGTGGAATAGACAAAACAACGGCTGATGAGGTACGGACACAATGTGCATTTACATTAAAACAATAAAAACGACGAAAGCCTAACCTGACAAAGCCAGAGATGGAAGCCCTAAAACACCTTGAGAATAACAAGCATATAGTAATCACTAAATCAGAGTGTATAAACTCTGGAGTTAGTCTGTTCTGATCACCTCTCCCCCAACTGAAGGGAATATCTGACTGTTGTTACACTCGTATTCATCACCAGTAGGATGACTTTGTTCTTTTACCCCCTTCCTCCACCATGATGGTAACAGTTTCTAGTCTGACAGTTCTGCAAACAACTCTTCTACCATCTTAAGACCTGCAGAAACAATTACTGCAGTCAGTGAAGCTTGTTGAGTCACTGCGATATTTACTCCCAACTACCACATGAATGTAGCAGCTATCTTTCGGTTAGAAAGGTTATTAAGCAAGGCTATACACTCTATAGAAATCTTCCGCACTCAGCATAACGAACACGATTTGCATTTTCAACACCAATGTCAAGTCGGTTCTTCTATACGGATCAGAAACTTGGTTGTAGACTTTCATCAACAGCTGCCTTCGCCGACTCCAGAAAGAATAAGCAACAAGAAACTATGGGAACAAACCAACCAGGAGCTGATCGTTCAACAAATATGCAGGAGAAAGTGGAGATGGATCGAGCATGAATTGAGGAGGCCGCTGAATGATATCGCACGCAATGAAGGCCATAACTCGAGTGGAATCCAAATGGGAAGCGACGAGTGGATCGTCTGTCCAAGAGTGACATGGAGGGGATTGTGGGGGGAAGCGATGAGAGAGTTTGGTCAATCGTGGAGCCAGCCAGTTGAAGAGGACGGCAGAAAACAGAATAAAGTGGAAATGTGTTTTTGAAGCCTTATGTTCTACTCGAAACGCAAGGAAATAATAATACACTCCATAATTCTAATTTCTCTTACATGCCAGTTAACTATACCATATAAAAATGGACTCAAAAAGTAACTCATATGTCTGATATCATAGTTTACGTAATGCATTGTTATTAACATTACTGTTATTTTTATTAGTTATGGAAATGACGGAACTATTAATGTTTTCATGATTGCTATCATGCTCAATATTTATGTCTAATAACGAATGATTGTAATTGGTCAATTGTATTCTTGTTATTATTATTACTATTATTGTTCAATAGTTTTTTCTCTTTGTCTACATGTCTAACAATTCACAAAGGATATATATATATATATGCAGTTGTCTAAATAAATGTATTTGTGATAAATGTCTTTGGTTTGTTTGTTTGTTTGGTTGGTTGGTTGTAGGTTAAAATATACACGTCTCTACATTATCCATTGTAGAATTGTCTTTGACTGATGACAGGGTATCTCTCTATGTGTAGTATGTGGAAAAATCAATTGGAAATGACAAAAATCTTTATGATTTTGATTCTGTTGTATTTAAACACAAAGTTAGTACATCGTAGACACAAAAGCAATGAAAAAAATAGTAGGTTGATTAAGCAATATCACTGTGGTGGTATGATACAGACAATTTCTACCAACAGAATATTATTCTCACATAAGCTCTTATCTACGAGTGAGACTGCTGCTGCCCCTGATGTCAATTAAACACACCAACTCGCGGTCATTTACGCGCAGCTTCGAATACATAGCCCCCTCCTCAATCGCCTCTATTACCTCTAGTCTCGGAGAACAGAAAGAAGACACAGTATACCTTTTGAAACGTTTTTTCTGTCGTCTCTCCGGGCAATGGTTTTTCCAGTGTCCCAATTTCCTGCATGCAAAACTTTGGTCTCTCCTCACGCTTATTCTCACGCTGCGACTCGTCAATTTGTTGCTCACCATGTTTGACTTTTGATGGCTCTATCACGATGATCGCCTTGCTTAATAGTTGCCTGGTCACCTTTGTGTGCTCCCCAATGTCCAGTGGTTGTATGGCGTGAATCAGATGTAGCTGTTGAGATATGTGTTCTGGAACACTCTCCATAAACTGAAACGCTAATATTTGTGCCTCAGAATCTTCGTCTAGTGTTGGCAGCGCGCGACGCAGTAGGTTTCTCAGAGTCAGTGCCAATACAAGAGGATCACCGTCAACTCCTAGCTTCGTAATACGAAACTGCTGCATAGCCCGCTCTCTGTCCATCGGGCTGTCAAACTCCTCCTTCAAGCGTTCAACTACTGACTTCCAAGTCGCTTGCTTCACACTATCATATGCTGCCTTCACCCGACCTTTCAGCAGCGTTCCAAGTAAAAACGTCTTGGCTGACGGCTCTTGAATGCCATTCAACTCCGCAACAACCTCGAAGTCCTTCAAGAAGATCCATATATCTCCTTCTTCAAAAACTGTAGGCCATGGCATTTTCTTGCGTCGGTGGCACAGCGGTAGAATGCTTGCCAACCACGCAGGTGGTTCGGAGTTCGATTCCCGGCTGACGCACTCTTCCACCTCGCTATGCCAGTAACAAAACCGGTAAAGAGGAAAGGT